TGTGTGGCTAAACAGAAGACACTTCATACAAGCACATTCTATATAAGCCATTTATTTGAAATGCCAACTATATGTAGGATAAAGTCAGTGTTACATGCTTCTCAGCAACAGTAGAAAAATAGAACCAGTGAAAACCTTTTTACAACTGTAATGGTACTCAAAAGAGAAATGTATTGTTTTACAATGCATCACACAAGACTAGAATTCAAGTTTGGAGGTACCTAAATAAAAATACTATATTTTAAAAAACACTATGTACAATTGAAGCGTAAACAAGTTTTACAAAGTACTGGTTATGCAGGTTGTAGAAAAAACACTTGCATAGGACATGAAGTCAGTTTAAGAAAATTTTCTGAGCCTTTAGCATTGAAGGCACTTGACTTTATACCAGTAACAGCACAAGGACAAGAAACAAAATGTAACATTGCAGAAGGCAACACCACCTTCCCAAGTACAGATAATTACAGAAACTGCAAGTCCAACCTTTATCTTTTAACTGCTCCCTGCCTTCAGCAGAGCTCAGCATCACCTCCACCATAGAAACAGAGAGGCATTCAAAATAGCAGAAACACTGGTGCTTCTACAGCACATCTGTTCTTTCAAAAGAAAACTAAAGAACATAAGCAAGCGGTTGAGACATTCAAAGACCAAAACTAAGGCTTGCAATGGGAAGGGCCAGAGTCTTTTAATTTTCAGCCTTTTAACAATGATGAAGAAAATAAACTAAAAACAACCCAACCCCAACACAAACTCACAAGACAGATAATATACAACTACTGCGACAGTAAGGGGGGGACCCCAAAACCTGCGTGCTGCTTTTGTATACATTTTATACTGCTCTTTTGTAGTAAATTAACACTTAAGTTACAAAACAGGCATCCTTTTTGTAAGACAGAAGCATCAACAGTTGATTTTAGCTTCCAACAGAATGCTTAACTGCTCAGCAAGCAGCTATCCAATTCCAACTGTTTACAAGGATGGGAGATCTTAGAATTTTCCCTCTAATCTGAAAGTGGTTCATTTAAATAAGGGTTATCTGCTATAAACTGAAAATTAGTGGATGAAGGCTGATCTAGCAGACGGCATGGCAACTTGTGTCTTGTGTATGAAATTTCTGCAAACATGCTGCTTTTGGGGGGGAGTGAACATTAGCTTCCATTAAGCTGTTCTTTCCAGCATGTTTTGCATTGTGTTCAGTTATATAGATGTTGCCCCACCCACCCCAATTCAGCAAATCAGAGTAAATGGGTGCAATTCAGTTAATCTGAATGGGTGTGCTCATGCAAGCCAGTGCAGAGTCTGGTCTAACATTGCCTAAGTTTTGGGGGAAAAAACATCACTATCACAAAAGGTTAATGCCAGCATCTTGTCAAGGAAGGTCCACTAAAGACACGACAATCCTCCTTACGTGCATCTGCAAAAGATTGCGTTGTTACCTGGGAGTGCCACAAAAATCACCCACTGATGAGGTGCCTAAACTGATGAGGTGTGTGGTAGTGGGGGAGGTGGCAACGTACTTTTAAAATGGAGAACAAAATGAAAATGCAAAGTGCAGGTAGGACAGGAGAGCAAATGACTAAAATCTTGGCCCAGCAGTTCATCAGCCAGTCAGACTATATGGAATTTTACATCATCTCTTCCTGGGAATACTGCTCAACACCATGGATTGCCCATTGGAGACCTCAGTAAATGACAACTGGATGTACTAGAAAGCAAACAGCAATGCCACAAAGGTTTTTTTTTTTTGTAGTGGAGTAAGTCAGTAGAGAAAACATTTCACAGATGCCTTCAAACTACATATTCCTGAAACTTCTCAGCTTTCTTTACCAGCCACACCTCCATGGGTCCACTGTGAAAGCTTCTGAAAGGTGCTGCTATTCCTAGGAGGTTTTAGCCACAATTTACTACTTAGGCACACAGTGCCACATCCAAACAGCGATATTAGTTGCTAAAGCAGTTTTCCCTGAAAGCAAGTCTACTGAGTTTTAGGTAAAAGGTATACAGAATGTGAAATATTCTGTTGAAAGCCAAGATGTATATGGTGATTGGTTATTAACTTTTGAATATAAACTGATACAAGCACAATCATTTACTTTTAGTAACAAGATGACTGTATTGGGATTTTAGCAGTTATAAGATTGTGGGACCAACAGATACAGCTCAGACTAGTGTTAGATAGTGTTGTGCTAGATTCTTCATAGAGCAAAACCAATGAACCTCAGTCCCCAACCTGAAACACCAGTACTAAACAGTCCTATCTTCTTTGAGGTTATAAAGACAATTGTTTGACACTGCTGTAATTCTGTGAAAGCAAAATATTAGTGATGAAGTTGGAGCCAACGTGCATATTTTTGCTTGGGGCCCAAGCCTACTTAAACAACAGAACAAAAATAAAGCAAAACCAAGCCTCCAAAACCAAAACAAATCTGTGTGATTTAGACACTCACCACTGCATTTCATCGTAACAGTCCAACACAGCTGTACCTTAAATGAACCTTTCCAAAGTTTTCATACGGTGCAGGAGACCATCATGCTTTTTTGCACCACAAACCTCATGAATCTAGCTTACCCAGATGCTACCTTTATAGGTTGGAAATTCCTTTTAGGTACGTTAATACAATATGGTGCTATAGCTCACAGGCATTGTGTACTTCAAATGAAACCTTGAGCTTTTGAGGAGAGGAGATGACTAGTAGTAGAAATGACTGTCTTAATTGAAACAAAAAGTATATTGTAACAAGATTTATATTTAAGTAGAATTAAGCATCTTTAACTGAAATAAAACAAATCAGTATTAAGATCAAAATAGTCTTTAGCTCACACTTAAGTCTGAGGTCCTCAATTGCTGGAAGATCTTTCATTATAGAAATCATTCTTAAAAAAAAAAATCTGGTGTTTATTAGCAGATACACTGTGGTATCAGGTACCACAGCTTTTGCTACACCTAGAATAGCAAATAGTTGTATAATAACTATTGACAAGCATTTACTTTTGAATGACTATCACTATATCCTTATAAATGTTTAACCCCAGCAAAGACAAAGAACACAAATCACTATCCTCTTCTCTGTGTTCATATTAGTCAGTCTCATCACCATGTGCTTAAAAAAAAGTGATGATTGAAGTGTAATTTAAAAATGCCAAAGCTATAAATAAAGATAAAGTAGTTACTTCTCCACTCCATGATTTTGTTCACAAGAGCAGAATGATTTACATTATGCAATTTGAGACACTTAAAATGTGTTAAGAAACACTAAATGACATCACTAAAAGTGAAGCCCTTTGTTTTTACTATAGGTGGGAACAAAGCAAGGCAATGAACAGTCCCCTCAGAATCTCTACAAGAGAGACAGCCCTCTCAGTTGAGCAAGTTAACAGTTTAGACAACAACATCATATGCTACGCCTGTTCTTCCTGAAGCTTTAGGGTTTGGAACAAATCCTGAATTCTGATCTTCACACACTCTAGCACAAGGGTATCCTGATGAGCAGAACTCAATACTGCTATCAGTTTGAAGTGTTTCTAGGTCGTCTTCCTCTATGAGCAAATCAGTAATTCGAGTCTACTTAACTGCTTCTCAGTGACCAAGAAGTCATAGTTTCATAGATTAAGGGTCGGAAGGGACCTAGTAGATCTTCTAGCCCGACCCCCCGCCAGGGCGGGAGAACAACAAAACCCCAAAACAAGAAACGGGACTCAAATAGTCCAGCCAGGTAGGCATCCAGCCTCTCCTTAAAGACCCCCAGGGTAGGGGCCAGCACCACTTCCCTTGGAAGTTGGTTCCAGCTCCTAGCCGCCCTAACTGTGAAGTAGTTTTTGCGGATGTCCAATCTATACCTCCTCTCCATCAACTTGTGCCCATTACTCCTTGTTATGCCAGCGGGCGCTAGGGGAAACAGCGTCTCCCCCAAACCCTTCTGGTCCCCCCTAGTGAGTTTATAGACGGTCACCAGGTCCCCCCTCAGCCTTCTCTTGTGGAGGCTGAATAGGTTCAGGTCCCGCAGTCTCTCACTGTAGGGTCTGCCCTGTTGTCCCCGGATCATGCGGGTGGCCCTCCTCTGGACCCTCTCCATGTTGTCCACATCCCTCTTGAAATGGGGCGCACAGAACTGGACACAATACTCCAGCTGTGGCCTGACCAGCGTCGCGTAGAGGGGGAGGATCACCTCCTTGGCTCTACTCGAGATGCACCTGTGGATGCACGACAAGGTCCGGTTAGCCCTGCCAACCATGACCTCGCATTGTCGGCCCATGTTCATCTTGGAGTCAATAATGACTCCAAGATCTCTTTCTGCCTCCGTGCTCTCAAGTAGGGAGTTCCCCATTGTGTAAGTGTGCTGCTGGTTCCTACTGCCCAAGTGCAGCACCCTGCACTTGTCTGTATTGAAACGCATCCTGTTCCTGTTAGCCCACCCCTGTAACCTATCCAGATCCCTCTGCAATCTCTCACTCCCTGCTAGTCCTCTACATTCATAACTGAACCAGAATACACGAGCCAAGATTTTCAAAAGGAGCCCTTGGAAAGTAAGCAGTCAACACCCAGCTGTTTCCTTAGGCTCTTTTGAACATCCCAATGATAAGTGTTTGAGAGGACTTTGTATCTCAGGAGGAGTAAACACACCAGCTAACTTGTTCAATAGAACAGTACAAGACTGGATTTTTGTAGTGGACCAGGAAGATTTCAGACCTAAAACAATCTTACTTAAAATGTAGTATTTTGCTGTGCTGTTCTTTGGAATTCCTATAATTCAAAAATAAACACATTGGTACTATCTCATAAGAAAATACATTTCATAGTGTGCAACCAAATGCACATGGGGAACTGGTAGGTGGAAAGGTAAAATGCAAAAATATGAAAATACAGTCCTTTAAATGTAACAATGAAGTTTAACGTATTAGTACAAAACTAATACGAATAAAATAAAATATACAGGTGCAAAAGTCTACCCAACTGTAAAAAAGAAAAGTGCCAGCTAGTTTTTTTTTTTTTTTTTTTTTAAAAAGGAGGCTTAATTAAAAATTTGCTCAAATCACAAAATAACCCAGAAGCAGCATCCAAAGTAAACTGACAGCATGCTCTCTCTAATAAAGCAAAGAACGTATTAAAAGAAAAACAAAAATGAATTATGTGCTGGCATTCATGAATTTGACTGAAAAATATCCAGCCAAAAGTTGGAAAGAATGGGGTGGTTTACAACTCTTAGGCACAGAGAAATAGTGGAGGTTGCTTTCAGAGGGCAGATTTTTTGTATAGGAAGTCTGGTTTGCTCGGAGACCTCCTTCCTCTGCTTACTGCCTCTTCCCTTTCCAAGTCAGTATTTCTCTGTGCTCCATGTTCCAGAGGCTCATCATCTGCCAGTCTCCTACCAGCTCGCTCTTCTTGCATCTCAGAGGTGTATGCAGAGAGTGAAGGTCTGTTAGCTGTTAGCCCATATGTTAAGTCAGTTTCCATTTTTGTTCTTCCCCTGATGTGAACTGGGCCATTACCAGCATTTTCCTGGGCAGCCAATGCCAAGTCCAGTCGCTGGGGAGGTTGTTCTAAGACATCGAGGTGTATTGGCTCATTCTTTTGTCTGTGTTGATGCCCATCTTGGGAGAGCACATATTCTCTCCTGGAATCCTCTTGTTTTTTTGGAGATATCTGGGAGGGTAGGTAGGCCGACTTTAAGCCACTTGGTGATGCCTTACTGTGGCTATACAAATCTGGACCAAAATACATGCCTTGTGAAGGTGAAGGAGTGTGTCTGCTAGGTGCTGGAGTGGAAGGTCTGCATGCAGCATTAGAGAAATCATAGAAGTCTGGATACTCCTGTTGATTTTCTCGAGCATCTATTTTTTGCTCTATTGCATGTTTCTTTCGAGAACTGTGCATGTGCCTGGTCTGAATACAGGAAATGTGTGGTGCTGGACCTGGTCCTACCTCTGAAATGCTCTGGCTTAGCTCTGTGTCAACAGCAAGTTCTGGCAGCCTTCTGTCCTTCAGAGACATTGTTGACACACCCATAGCAATATCGGGCATCAACTCATTTAACATGGGCTGAGCGCACTAGAAAAGAAAGAAAGGGAAAAACAATCAGTCCATTTGAATTGTGCTCCATTTTTCAATCTGTACTGAATTTAATTCACAGCATCACTTTCTGTAGTAGGTGGCAATAAAATTTTCCTTTCCTGATCCCCTTCAGGAAACAACAGCCTTAACAAGTAACTTCCTTAGATTAAGAGCACATGCCATTTCAGGTGAGACACTTTCCCAATTAGGGCAGATTGGCTGGAGCAGCTCCAGTACAATCAGCAGTTGATTTTTCAAATCAAGAGGGTGCACCTGTACTTTATTCTACACACTTGCCCCCACTATTCAGCTATAAAAAGCAAGTTATTCCATTCAATTAGCTCTGAAAAGCAACTCTGAAAATATCCAACTCTGCATGTTACCCATGGAAAAAAATGTAATAAAAGGAAAAGGTCACGCAAATCGAGAAGTTGCATGGGGTAATGTAACCAATATAATTATTACAGAATGGTCCTTGTCCACTGTGAAAGCAAAGTGTCAATTCCTTTTCCCTAATTCCTCATGAAATGGGAGGTTATTATTTCAATAAGTGCACAGCACTGTATTTCACGTTTAATACAAAATGTATATATGTAAATGTAGACTGCTCAGCAATGAATGTTGAAAGAGTGAATATTAAACAAGATATTAATTTAGATCAAAAGTATATTAAATGAGTAATGCTACATAAAGACAATATTGTGGCTGAGAAAATAGGGGGGAGGGGAAGCCAGAAATCGATACACCTGGTCCTTCAGATTCAGAACAAGTGTAACCAACTCTTTGCATACACTTCATATCTTGTAAATGCAGATTAATTACATTTATGGTTTTATATTTTACGTATATTTACACACACACAGTACATGTGCAATATGGCTGAACTGTAGAAATTGTAGTGCTGAATTTTCTTTCCTTGTATGTAGTTCACAGGATCCCAAGAAACATATCAATTAATCTTCCAGGAAAAATTATTTCCCAGGGTCCCTAGAGAGTCTGCAGCAGGCATATGGGGGTAAGCTCAATTCTGGGTCTGATAGGGGCAGGGTTCCCAGTAATGGGTGTGAAGGAAGGAGGGGGGGCAGCAGGGACCTGGGAGCATCCCAACACCTCAAGTGAGACCTAGCCAGAGGCTAGATCCATCCACACACCCTCCTATCTTCCAGATAAAACAGAGTAAAATACTACAAAATGGTACTTAAAGTCAACAGCACTCCACTTTAATTACAAGATGCCTCTAGCTTTCTATATTAGCTGTAACTACTCAGGGGAAAAAACACAAAACCAAAAAACATCCACCAAGTGGACCTGTGGCCAGCTCAATGAGACACCCTGGTAAAACATGTAATGACTTCAGTAAAAGAGCTAACAAAATATTAAATACAGCTAGCAGTCCAAGGACAGAAAAAGTTGAAAGTATTATGCCCTCACCTGAAACACAGTGCTCATGTATGGCCATACAATCACAAGAAGTGATAGCAGAAACAAATGGGAGCCAGAGACAAGGTGCAAAATAGAAACATGGAAAAAACCTCCATAAAGAAAAATTGGAAAGATTTAAAGTGTTTACTTTAGAGAGGAAATGACAAGCCAGAAACAAGTAAAAATTTCCCAAGTAATGAAGTAAAGTGAAAATAGACCATATAAAGCCCAGAACTTTTCAAATACAAGAACAAGGACACAGAAAATATTGGAGAATTTTACAATAAACATATGTTTTGGAACACATTGCCACACTTGGATGAGAACTTACAAGGTTATACTAGGAATGAATAAACTGCAAAAAGTTCCCTTTTTCTTTAGGGCACAGAACCACCCCAAAACCACAGGGGTAAGAAAAGCATGCCCATGTGGGCTGGTTATTCTGTAGCTCTCTTACTGTGTTTCCTGCACCTTCCTTTGAAGTATTTGGTACTGGTCATTGTTCAGACTGATCCTGGAGGAGATGGACCACTAGTCTGTTTGATCCAGTAGGGTAACTACCATATTTAACTTTTAGGCATTACTTTTAATATCAATTTGACTTAAAGGAAGTATACATCATGATGCATATATACTCTTCAAGCTAAAATAAATGAATGGATTTAAAGCAGTTATAATTACTAGTACATAACTGTAGTTAACAACCTCATGGCTAATAAGCATAAGGCTTTGTGCATACTTGTAAATGCTACCCTGTGTCAATGGCATTATGTACATGGCAAGCTTAAAAGTAATATAAAATGGATTAGTGTGTAAATCAAGACATAAGAAAGCCCCTGAATATTTTTCCTAAATGGGGCTTCTTATATGGCAGAGACAGCTATATCTTATACATTGGAGATATATATATATAGAGTTAGGAATAACAGAATCAATAATTAGCAATCTTAGCCCAAAACCTTTTCTTTTTAAAGTGTACTTTTACCAATTACTATATTTCCATCCAATACTGCCAACCAATATGATGAACTATTTTTTTGCCCAGGGATACAAGTGAGATGTTTTTTCTGCTGGTCATACATGAATGATGGGAAATCAATCCCATGAGAAAAATTACAGGAAATAATCCCCATCAGATGTTTACAGTATATACCATGCCATCATAAAGATAGCTTATTTCATGATAAGAGCTAAAGAGAAATGATTGATGACTTCTGCCAGTCCAGAATTCGAGTCAATCAGAACAGCAGAACCTCCGTATACAAAAAACTCCCATGAAACCATGTTTTGCATTAGGACTTTTTCTGGCAGAAGTTTTCAAATCCAGCATGCAGCTGCATTAACTACATTTTACCCAACTACTTTTGTTCCTTTGTGTAGCACTTTTAATATAGTAAACACACACAGAACTACTCTATTGTAGTTAATCAACTTAGAGGCTATTTTCTTCGCTTTTAAATATTAATCCATAAATACTCTCCTTTATATGTGCGTATATCTTGCCCTTTCCTATCACTTTCCATCAGCTTACTCCTTTCAGAATCCTATTTAAAACTGCCCCTCAGGCATTCAAACTCCCCATGGATTTTCTCTACATAATGACTGTCTATTTACATTAGTTCTAAAGTGCTCAGCATTGAAGCCTTACAGCAAAAACACCACCTCTAGCTACTTAGTCAACCCTCCAGCCTACTAGCAGGGCTGACATTTGCTTCTGTTCCAATATGAAATGAAACCAAAACCTTTCCAAGTTATTTCAAGCAAAACCTATAAAAATCAGAAAGCGCTGCCCCTGCTTCTGCACAGATACACAGTCATCTGGTGACCAGAGCACTCATCTGGGATGTCAGATGCCTGCTCGAATCCTTACTCTGTCTTACTCAGAGCAGGGACTTGAACCTAGTCTCCCAGATCCCAAACCACTGGTTCTTTCCCTATTCAGTTTTGAAAAGAAATTCTGTCTTGGACCCAAGCAGCTTTCTAGACAAAGAGCACGTATTTAATTAAAAGAAGCTGTCCAGAGTTCTCAGCCATCTCAGTCTACTAATTCTACTGCTTCCATTCTGACTTCATCCTCCACACTTTTGTAGGTACTTTATGGAAGGGGCAGTATATAGAAGATTCACTTTAAAATATAGCCATCTCCACTGCCAATCTTCCCAGGCCAAACCACTTCACTGTTAAATTCTACTTTAATTTTCCTTTTCAATACATTACAGACAGACAGACAGACAGACAGACAGACAGACAGACAGACAGACAGACAGACAGACAGACAGACAGACAGACAGACAGACAGACAGACAGACAGACAGACAGACAGACAGACAGACAGACAGACAGACAGACAGACAGACAGACAGACAGACAGACAGACAGACAGACAGACAGACAGACAGACAGACAGACAGACAGACAGACAGACAGACAGACAGACAGACAGACAGACAGACAGACAGACAGACAGACAGACAGACAGACAGACAGACAGACAGACAGACTTACTGCTTGCTTTTCTGCTGCCATTACTGCTGCTGCTGCAGCTACTGTTTGCCTCCCCAATCCCGTAGTGTTAGTGCAATCAGGTGGTGCTGCTTTCACACCAGGTAGGTAGACAGGTGGAACAGCTTTGGAAGCTGTCCTGGAGTGGAAGAGTGAATGGTTACATGGATAAGAAAATGAACGTGAAGGGTGTTGACTCGGCACCCTTTGTTTCCAGCCCACTTTGAACTGGTTGTGAATAGGAGTAGCTGGTGGATGGTAGGGAGGTGGAGGAGGGGGCAATGGTGGATGGAAGGCCACAAAAGAGTCAAATTCTGTAAACACTGTTTCTGTAGTGGGAGTGCTGTTGACTCGACATCGTCCAGACTGTCTCACTGTCAGAAGTGGGCTTTCGTCCCCAAACCGCTCATCAGGAAAGAACTTGTGAGGATTCTGCAAGGGAAAGCAAAAAATAAAATAAAATAAAAAAAATCAGGAGCTAGAAAACCAAAAAGCATTCTTCTCAGATTTCCTATTCAATTGACCAGGACTGAGACTTGCAAATCTAGAGACTAACATCAGCATCTAGCTAGTTCTACATCTGATTTTTAGCTTTTTTTTTCTCCCGACCCATTTTTGAGCCAACCTGAATTTTCACTTGCTTACTATCTGCTTCTATTTATGAGGAGTCAGTTAAGTTACACCGCACAGTTTAAAAACTCTATCATATGGAGCAGAAAGAACAAATGACATAAATAGTAAATAATAAGCAGTGACTGTCCTTATTCATGCTTGAATGCTCTGCACAATATAGGTACTGCATATGCTCTGCACAATATAGGTATAGCTCTTTTCCAAGTGGCAATGGACAAAACGTTGCAAACATTCGTTTGAATTCTGATACAGCTCTGGTTCAGTGAAGTCAAACCTGGACACTGGTTTTGTAGCATTTCAGTCAATCAGCTCAAGTGTAGGACAGGCTGAACCCTTTACATTTACACGTGTTGTTACATTTTAAGCGACAGAAAGATAAAACACTTGTGTTATTTGAAAAGTGTCCTCTGATGCTCCCTAGAGGAGCTCCCGTAGTATATTAAGACAATCACTCACATCCCTGTCAACTTCAAAATTTGAGATCCAGCGTTTTCCCTAATGAGAATATTTGAAGGTCAGAGGCGCAGAGCACTTGACAGATGAAAACATTAATTTATAAATATATAATATAGAAATATTAATAATATGTCACCAATGTAAATGGGATTTGCTACTGGACAATTTCACTCTATATTACACAACCTTTTTCAAAAAGGAAGTGTTACCGTTACTTCTGTTTCTTTTCTTTCCAGCCTTTCCAATCAATGTCATTGTTGATAGATATTGGAAATAAAATTTAACCGTCTTCAAATATTGATATTAGGGGTGAACTGATAAAGATTTTTTGGGCCGATACGAATGACTGACCAGTCCAATTGCTGATATGCAAGCTCAGCAGCTTGGAGAGCAGTGTTTGGCTGGTAAGTCTGTTGGAGGGAAGGGAAGGGAAGGGAAGGGAAGGGAAGGGAAGGGAGTATAGGGGAGGCATACTGGCACCTATGGTGAGGGAGGAAGTGGGGCAGGGGTAGATCCTGCTCAGTCAGGGTGGGGCAAGGAAGGACATGGGGAGAGGCTCCCGCTGCTGCGCACACCCTCCAGGAATGCATGGCAGGTGTGTGCCCCCCAGAACTGTGCATGGGGCAAGGGTGGACTTTCGCTGCTGGCTGAAGTCAGGGCCAGTGCTGGGTTCTTCCTAGCAGGGGGGTTAGACTGGGGCTGCACTCAGGGTGGGTGGCGGCAGCACTGGGAGGGGAGGCTATGGGGTGGGCTACAGCCACCCCAAAATTCACTGTAGCCCCACCAATCCCCTTTTCCAGCACTGTCACTGCCCACCCCAAGCACAGCCCCTGCCCAACGCCCCCCACCAGGAAGAGCCCAGCACTGTCCCAGCCCCAGCCTGCAGCAGCAGCAGCCTCCCCTCACCCCATGCACAGATCCAGGGGCACATCCCCCTTGCCTCCCTAGGGGGTGCACACAGCAGCAGGAGCCGCCACCCTCTCCCCCCCACCCGAGACGAGCCACTTGGGGTTCTGTCCCACACCCTGCCCCTGCTGGGCAGCGCCTGGCCCTGCCCCACTCCCTCCCTCACTGTGGGGGACCTCAATATGGCACCCTACTCCTGCACCCCCCAACCGACTTACCAGCCAGACACTACTTTCCAAGCTGCCAGGTTGGCTGTGTACCTGCTGCTGCTGCATCCATGCACATGGTATTTATTGGCGACATTATTGGTCACATCAGACAAAAAAGCTGACTGCCAATAACATCAATTTTCCTTTTATCAGTGCTGATAAGATATGGACCAATGTATTGGTGCACTTCTAATTAAACACATACACAGGAGGTCTCTCACTAATAAAAAAATGAATTTCCAAACCCATTTTGCATATGGAGTACTGCACTTTAACATATCCATTTTCTTGCACTTTCAACAAAGAGACTTTTTATTAATGCGTAGGTTTGGGTTTGGATGCAAAAGCAGGGGAGGGGTGCTGCATTTACTTTTTAAGTGTGCATACACTCAATGCTTCTTTTTTCCCATAGGTTAAACATGCAGTTTCCCAAGACTCATGTCAAGTCTCTTAAAAACAGCACAGTTGTAAAATCAAGAGGGGGTGGGTCTTACCCAAGAGGATTCTCATACCTGCAGAAGTTCAGCAGCCGAATCTGGAAGTCCAAACTCTCGCAGAACACGAATCTGAATCTCATAACTAACTGTGGCACCTTCTCCACAATTGAGTGCATATGCCCTCTGCACCTGCTCAGTATGACGGAGCTCCTGGAGCCGTTTGATCATCTCTTTAACAACAAGCAGGCTGGGGACTGAAAGATGTGAAAACAATGGACAGGACTATTTCTTAAACTGTTCTAAAAAAGACTATGAAATCTACTGCAGTGACTAGTTTCAGTTACATTTTCAGGATTAACGTCAGGCTCACTATGCTTCTAAAGCTGACTGGCATTAAGCCAACAGTAGTTTGACTTGCATGTTTATGGTTAGAGTCTTAGGAACGTCATTATGGGATAAAGGGTAGAACATGCTAGTTGTAGAGATGTATACCATTTTTCTGATTTCTGTAAAAGTCAGCCACAAATACAGTATTCTTTATAAACTCCTTATGATGCAGGAATCTTATGATTTGGTTGGCCAGGGTATCTTAAATCTCAGTAATTGCATGTTCCTTTTAGATGCATTGATTTTCTTGGCATATGCTTTATGCTTTTGGTAGACTTTTGGGATCGTAAGAATGTATTATCAATAATAACTACAGAAAATGCATTAAAAAAATTACATGAATTTTAAGCCAACACAAACCTGTGAAAATTAAACTCTTTTATGCAGTCATCTTGAAATTATTAAAAACCTTTCCAAAAGGAAATTATATATAATTTAAGGTATTCATTTATCCTGTTGCACAACGCTCTCATCTAACATTTATGCTGCTGTCTGGCAATAGCTCTTTTTCCCAGGGACAGAAAGACCACAGTAAAATATGTACATATCTGAGAAAAAGCACATACAAATGCACTACTGGGATCAAGTCTGTTAACAAATATACACGGGCAATATATTTTCATGACCAGACTGCAAGAACAGTATAAAGGGCATCTACATATCAGAGATGAAACAAGCACCAAGCAGTTGCTGCCAATTTTAGAAAGGCCACAATAGTGCATATATTTTCGAAGGTTTGCACCATTTTACCCAAATTCTTTATTTCTAGCACGTGGCCCAATACAGTAGAAATGACCTGCTCTACCAGTCTTTTAAGAGTTCCAAACCATCCTCTCTACTACGTTTTATTATGCCAATACTCAACATTCAGATATTCTGCTACATTTCATTATGTTAGTACTCAGTGTACTAGTACTAACACTATGAAAAGGTTGGATTTCGGGATAAAATGAATTGGCCTTCTTTTTAAAAGGTTAGTTACCAACTCCAACATGAATTTGGAACAATTTTTCATACAGAAACAATCTAGAATATTATACATGGTATTTTTATCTGGAAGGCAGACATTGTGAAAGTATAAAGGAACAATATTCTTACACATTCAGTAATTCACAAGCCAAGTTCAGCTCTTTCATTATTTGATTCAGGCTAAAACTTGAACAGGTCCAAAGCAGCCCCAACAATCTGCTGGACCTAACCTCAATATTGCAGGCAGAGCTCAGGAAAGGTTCATAAACAGCCTCAGAATAGGGTTGTAATGAGAACAACAAGTCATTTTGCAGACACAAAAATACCTATGCTCAGCAAATGTCCTTGAAGCACAGATGTCAGAGGACACTAGACATGGCAGGGGGATGGAGGGGGGGCGGCAGGGCGGAGAATATAACTGGACAAAAATCATATGCTCCAAGGCACCAGTCAATGAAGCACAGGACGGTCATTGCTTGACTACTCAGGTGGCCAGTTCTTTTCTGCCATTTGTGCTCCAGGAATAGGCTCCTGCATCAATGTGCAGTTTGCTGATATTTGTGTCTATCCCAAATCTTTTTGGTTGAAGTCTAGAGATATTTTTGTTCATACACGGCTGCCAGAACACTCCCTTCAGTATAACAGTAAGTGAAGGGAGCCATCACCAGCAAAGAACACCTGTACTTGAAATGCTGACCTCGCTGGCTGGGGTTTTTTTTTTCTTTTTTTGTATGAATAAATTATAGGTCTCAAAGATTTTTGCCAACAGAATTACTGACACAGCTACCATGGAATTTCAGACTGGGTGAGATGCTCTCATTGTGTCTATGGCTGGCTTTTCTAAGAGTGGTAGGTGAACATTTTCAGCTGAGGGGAACTTTTGGGAATTTGTTTGCTTTGGCAGTTCCCTAGAGTCTAAATTTGGCACCGAGCACTGTTATGTGATTAACCATTGAATTGATATTTCTGTAGTGGGTACATACTTTGAATGTAGAAACCAATTACAGACAGTTTTGGAAAATGTTTATTGTACCAGTGAGAGACTATGGTTATAAGTGCTTGTGCCCTGGCTACTAGTACCCTTCTAGCATAGCTCCAGCTCTTTACAGTTATTCAGGTATCTACTACTTAATATGCTTTGGAGACATTCAAAACTGAGAACCCCTGGTAATCTGTTATATGAAGCAGACTACCAGCCACCGCTTAACAGACTACTGTGGCCAACAAGAAATTTAAGAGTCATCTAACAAAAACTCCCATGACAGGAAATTCTTTATCACCGTTTAATCAAGAAGCCTTACCTGGGGTTTCATTAGCTATAACTGAAGGAGGACTGGACTGATTACTGCTGATTTGCTGGTGGCTAATCATATGACAGCACTGTGGCACTGCATTGTTCACCATGTAGAGGGTGTCAGGTACATTGGACATTCTGACCATTCGCAAGCGGACTAAGTCTGTTTGTTCCACCATCATCTCATCTAGCACTGACTGAAACAACAGATATTAAATAAAAATACCCTTTATTAAAAAACAAAAACAAAACTGCTGCTCAACCCCCCCCGATGTTCAAAAATTTTCAGAGTTAATATGCATGAAGCCCAAGAGCTGAAAGCATAACAATAACAACAACAATAACAATAACAAGGGTTAGCGAGGACTTAGTAAGGGAGCTTCTGGAGGGGCTGGACATATTCAAGTCAGCCAGTCCGGATGATCTCCACCCTAGAGTTCTAAAGGAACTGGCCGAGGTCATTGCAGGTCCCCTGGCACGGCTTTACGAGCA